GCTACTCTCCATAGGCATAGTCGTCCTGTAAAAAAAGAGCACAGCGCAGAATGCTTCATGAGGTAAAGAAGAATCCTAGAGTGTCAGCTAAAGACCTACAGAAATCTCTGGCACATGCTAACATTTTTGTTGACACATCTACAATAAGGAAACATTAAACAAGAATGGAGTACATGGGAGGACACCACGGAGGAAGCCATTGCTGTCCAAAAAAAATATTGCAGCACGTTTGAAGTTTGCAAAAGAGGACCTGGATGTTCCACAGCACTACTGGCAAAATATACTGTGGACAGATGAAACCAAAATTGAGTTGTTTGGGAAAAACACACATTTTTATGGTTTGAGCTGATTTTGAGCATTTTATACTTTTAAAATTCTTGATCAACTGGCAGTCATTTTTACTGCTTTTTAAATTATATTGAGCCACAAAAGATTTAAGACATCAGAAGCAATGGCCTCTCTAGGAACACCATATCTGTTGCCAGAAGAATAATTAATGTCATAGCTGTACCTTGAGGCAGAAACTCAGCCAGGTCCAGAGAAACTATTTATGTTCTTGGAAGACCACCTTGTGGGTGGGTGGATAGGGTTTTTTTACGGTTGTTTTAAAGTTCTCAGCTTTCAAGTGGGACACAGATATTTTTTAGGCTTTTATTTTAGTTAATAAAATGTTGGCTTAACTCCAATTGAAATAATCATTATTCATATACAATCTTCCTTCCCTTTGGCAGCACAGCTGGCTAGGATAAATCTTCAGTTCCCTGTTTTAGCTCCTTCTATTACACATTGTTTGGTCTATTTCATAGTTTTGTGAACTTAGAAGCAGTTATAAACATGGCCAGAGTCCCATGATTACTAAAAATTGCATGTCTGCAATTAACATTACAGCCATCTTGGCTGTTGTCCAGTAGCTAAATTTGAGAAGCTTTAATTCAGCTAATACCCCATAGCTACATTGAGTTTAAGCTACTCAGGAGCCATTTTAGCAGCAAGGTAATCATATGAATTCATTAAAGTATTCAGCCATGATCCAGAGAATGGGCTTGTTTTGTTTTGTTAGATTATTTCTTTTTTTTTTCCCAAAAGAAACAAACTTTATTAGGTTTTCTGAAATGGAAACCTAATAAAAACCAAAGATATGAAGGCAATCTTAGTATTAGCCTAAACGTGTTATCAGCAGATTTCAAATTTGTTGTCATGAGCCTTATTCTTGTAGACATAAACTAATAATCATCAGCTTCACCTATTTATTTGTAATTTAAGTTTCTCAACTTGGATATCGGCTAATGAGGGAGGTGATATATAAATACTAAAACTATTAACAATAAGCTGATACAAATGAAGTGCCCTGTTTATACCTGTCTGCTAACCTTTTCTTCTTTTTTCAGGCATGTTATGGCATCCTAAAAGTTCCTGAAGGCAGCTGGTTATGCCGAACCTGTGCTCTTGGTGTCCAGCCAAAATGCTTGTTGTGTCCCAAGAAAGGTGGAGCCATGAAACCAACTCGAAGTGGGACCAAGTGGGTCCATGTTAGTTGTGCCCTCTGGATCCCAGAGGTTGGTGTTTCAGGGTGTTCAGAGTGGCAGATATTGATTCATACATAAAGCTTTATGGCTAGTAATCGGAGTCATAATGGTGCCACTGGTTATCATAACAGACAGTGTTAAAATTGATAATGTCGAACCCATCTAATAATTGAAGAGATTGTTAAACCCTTTATATTTGAAATGAGAGGCTCAGGATAACTTGTTGACTTCAAGATATTGCTGATCTACATCATGGTCAATGATGAGGGATCCTGAAAATTGTAATCTAGCATCACTAGCAAATTCTTGTCTACAGTCTAAGTCTGAGATTTTGGATTGGTAGAAGTGGGAAGTATGGAAAATATTTCAAGTTCAAACCATTTTGAAATTCAGAATGTTTGATTTTGACCTTGAAAATTTTGTTTTGTTTTTGAAATAGTGCTTTTAGGATCCAAAGTAGACAGACTTGATCACCGTGTAACTGTGTTTCATATCAGTATAGCTGTTTTAAGCTAGGAACATTTCCAGAATGATTGAAACAGTCCCTTTCAAATATGAAACAGCTTTCACAGTCAAAACAAAAAGTTCAGATTTGAAATGGAGTGTTTTAAATTTGAAATAGTATGATTTTGAACATTACGGTGCAATAGTAGGAGATGGGTAATAGGAGGTTGCTAGTGAGACGTAGAGGAATATCTGGCCATTAAGAAGTTTTCTAATGTTTTGGTAGAGTGTATGAACATAGTTAGGAAGTGGAACCAATTATAGTTAATGACTGGTTTTGGAGCCATGATTGAAAGAGACTTATCTGCCATCTTCCTTCTATTATAAGGGAGAAGAAAGGATATGATGTAATTCTGTAACAATTGCAAATAGAAGGCTAATGTAATATAGAAATACATAATTGCATGCAAAACAAACCATTTCAGGGGTGTTCTGGATTGTTTATTTTTCCTTCCATTCTCAAGAGTTTTAGAACAAAAACATGACATTTCCAATGAACATCAGAATATTCCATCATTAAAAAAGAGACTTGCACATAACCTGAAATGTTCCCTTAGGCCAGAATAAAAGCAAATCCACATTTTCTTTGCCATTAGAATACAAGAATATGGGGGGGAAAGATGCACTATTGCTTGCTTAACTTGTTAATGAAACTTTTAACTTGGGCTTCAGTAGGGAATTTGTATTAGATTTGGCCAGAGGATAACAAGTTCAAATTCCTACCCAGTTCACATTCTATTCTTCATCCCTGGCCAGTTACTATCACTGTTTATTATGAGTCCAAACTTCTTATGTGTGAAGAAACTTGTTTATTTTTGTAACTTAAGAGGAAGGGCAGGATAAAAATGAAATCAATTTATTTCCAATCCTTAAGAATTCTTTTAATGGGATATAAGTATAATCTTTATTGTCATTGTACTTAAATAATACAAAATTGGTTGGAAATATAATTTAATAAAGTAATAGATGACTAGAAATATTGGTCTGATGGGATAATCTGAAGGTCAGTAAGTAGAGGATAGTTATACTTTTGCTGCTATTTGGTTTTTTAAAATATGTATTATTTTTTCCAATTATTCTTAGGTGAGCATTGGTAGCCCAGAAAAGATGGAACCCATTACAAAGGTCTCTCATATTCCCAGCAGCAGGTGGGCCCTGGTATGCAGTCTTTGTAATGAGAAGATTGGGGCATCCATACAGGTAAACAGTCTTTATCTAACTTCACATGATCTTCACATGTTATATCCTTGTTATTTCAATAAAATAAATTCTGGAATGAGCACTGACATTGGCAGCGCATATGCAACAATTGGGACATTACATACATGTTACAACATTATGTTACAACATAATGTTACTGTGAACTCTGTTCAGTGTGAACTCTTTGATGGTTATAAATCATCAGTGTGATTTAACCTTTTTTTTAAGATAGCTTTTGAAATTGCCATTGTCTTTGACATCTGTTTTGCTGAGGAAATTTTTTAAATAATTTTCAATCTCCTCCTTGCTTTCTCTTCTTTGTTAATACTCTTTTGTGTGCTGTGTCATATCTCCTTTTTCTTGGCTTCTTGGAGCTTGTTCAGTGTTTTCTTGTCTATATGCCAATTATATTTGTCATCTGATTGTTAGATTTTTTTTATTACCATTTGCCTCTCATAATTATTTGATTTTGAAATCATGTCTTTGTTCAGAGTCCTTGTATTACCTGCTGAATTTGCAGCTTGCCTAGCTATATTTATCTTGATCTATATCTTAGTAGGTACAGATGAATGGATTTCTTTTTTTAAAAAGAACTGAATGTAATATTAAATGAGAAATACTTAGCAGTTTACTACATTTCTAATTGAGCAAGTTCAATGAAAACTTGGTATTCACTGATTCATTTCAGATAGCCATTGTTTTTGCTTGTTTGGGCCAGTTGTTTTAATTTCATTTCTGAAAATGGTCTTCAGAAGCCTGTCTGTTCTTTGCAGTTCATTTAGAGCAACATTGCTATCTAGCAGATTAATTATTAGTGATAACATAAACATCTTACAGTTAACATATCTGTCAAATTTTATATGATTTTCAGACTTTAAAGAGCAAATGTTTAGGAGATCCCTAATATATTATTCCATCAAACTATGTTTCCCAAGATTATGTTTCTTAGTTGAACACGGTTTCTAGTAGGATTCAAATACTGCCTAATACAGAAGGATAGTGAAGTGACTCTTTCAAATATTCTCACCTGCATGATAAAATCAAAGTAACAGAGCAACATGATATGTTGAGCCCTCTTTAGTGATTGAATAGTCCCTCCTGCAAACTCTTGAGAGAGGCCCTGTTGTTTCCCTGGGCTTGGACTCTGTGTGGCACACTCCTGCATCCTGGCCAGGAGGTCTTTCCTTCTGGAGGCTCTGGTACAGGGATAAAATGCTACTGGTTCAGGCCGGTTCGCCTGAATCGGTATTAAAAAATGCTACCGTTCACCCGATGGAAAATGCTTAGCAAAGGCAAAAAAAGACTTCTGACTATCAGTTGCTCGATGGTAGGAACTTTTTTCTTAGCATTTGGGGTCCATTTTTGCTCCCAGGAGGCTTCCCGGAGGCCTGCTAGGCCAAAAATGGAGGTCTGGGTGTGTGTGTGTCCGTTTTTGCTCCGAGGAGAGATCTACTAGGCCAAAATGGGAGGATGGGGGTGGGATGATCTGTTTTTGCTCCCAGGAAGCTTCGCTGAGGTCTGCTAGGCCAAAAACGGGGGTGGGGGATGCTGCGAAAGAAAGGAAGGGAGGGAAAACGGAGAGGGAGGAAGGACCACAAACCTGGTGCTAAATGCAATTTCAGAGGATACCTTGAAAGAGCACAGCAATCTAGGGCTGGAGAGACCTGGAGGTCATGTAGTCCAACCCCCTGCTCCAGCAGGACATTGTTAAAGTGATTTTCTGTCTTTTGACCCCCTAGTCACATGACTACATAGCCACACCCACCCAGTTACATGACCCCCACCAAGCCATGCCCACGGAACCGGCAGGAATTTTTTTTAGATTTCACCACTGCTCTGGTCAGGCATGTTCTTCCTGCTGTCCCTATTTGCAAAAATTCCTCTCCCTCCCCCCCCCCAAAGTCGGTACAGGAATCTTCTCAGTCGGCATCAATGGGGGGAAGGTTGAATAGTGAGCTCTATCTGCTGCCCAAACTGGCTTTGAATCTCAGACGAGAGTCAATGATCACAGAAAAGATTGTAGATTTGGTCCAGATTCTGTAGCATTCTTTGCCATATGAGCTTAGTGCTGATTTGAGCATTCAGTCTTTGTCTAAACTGAGAAAGTAGAGCTCTTTAATTCTAATGTAACTCTGCAGTGATTAATTTGAATTCAGCCATACTTCTCTTATCGGCTCTTTGAAGTTGCCCATTGTCTGATAATTGTCTATAATTGGGTTATTGTCTTCAGTGCCTATTGAGCTGCTGACACAACATGATCAGCACAAAAGACACCTGTAAGCACTCAGTTGGGAATTTTTCACCTTTAATTCCCATATAGAATTCTCACTGAACTATGAAAGTTCTCATCCTTTCTGATTCTCCTCCAAGTCTTTCTATAAACACCCATGGCTTCTTGCAACATTTTTTGGACTGTTGGTGCCAGATCAATTGGTGGTGCTGGCTGTTCCAGATTCTGCATCTGTTGAAGCACTCTTATCAAATTGCCCACTTTATTCTCTAGTCCATCCTGACCCCGAAGTACAGCATTCATTAGCCCTTGGTCAGGCAGTTCTTCTTGGGACTTTAGTTGCCATCACAATAGTTGCCATTGTTCTTCAGAAAAAGATTGGGAGTCTGAGAAGATTAATGTCAGGTACAAACAATCAGGTCCACAAAGCAAAATGAATGATTTATTGTTCAAGCCTGGGTACAGGAATCTTCTCAGATCTATTGGTTTGCACCTGGGCAAAAATAGATAGAGTTCTGTGGCATTTGTGGGGTGAGGGTTGGACTTCATTCTCTTGTGACTACGTAGACATTCTACATTGATTCTCACTTGACAGCTCCCCCTGGCTCTGCCAGTCTCTCTCATACATTTATTGATTTATATAACTATTGTCTTAGGGGAGTAATTAAGACATGAACGAACATGGGAGAGTTATAAATACTGCTTCCCCCGAATTAGTGCTTCTGCTTCCTACATAGAGAATGGTAGTCTTATTTACTGTGATTGATTTATAGCTTTAAAAAACTACATTTTAACTCACTGTTCAGTTTAGCAGTTCTTCCATGTTTATGCATAAATTATGTATTAGTACACAGGAATTGCTTTGCAGCACTTAGATATTATAACATTAATATTTTATGTCTAAACACAATAGTACTGTTAATCAGAACATTGAGCTAACCTATTTACACTAAGCGACTTATGAATTAAACACTGGGTGACCACAACTTTTATTCAGAGAAAAATGTACTAATAAAATTGATCACTATTCCCTATGCAGAGAAAATTGTGAATGTTTTTAGTGAATTGCCCATAGTTACCAAGAAGATATCATTTGGCTATGGATAAAGATATGGGTTAGCTAGCTCTGAATCATTGCTATGCCAGAGATTTGACATTGAATCCATCACAGATTTTTCAAGTGCTTTGCCAAAGACTTTGCTTAGTAATGTCCTTCCAAAGGAAATTTAAAATAAATGTGCCGAATATGACTCACAGACATATAATAGATGCTCAGTATATTAATAAATGTTACTGTAAGTTTTAGTAGACCTATACTTGTTTTCTGAGTTTTTAGTTACATAGGAGAGAGAGAATTTTATGTATTGTATTTTTTGTTAGTATACTGTACTTGAAAGAATAGCATCTCGAGCATCCTATTTTTCCACTAAATTTCTGATAGGTCATGATGACTAGTTTGTTCCTAATGTTTTTTGTTTTTATTTATTCTATTGTATCTATCCCATCCATCCATCTACCTACCTACCTACCCTGTTTTTCCAAAAATAAGCCCTCCCCAAAAATAAGGCCTCCCTGAAAATATTGCAACACAGCAGCAGCCATGAAGTGACCACGCTCGCCACTTCCTGCACCTCAAAATAATAAGACCCTGAAAATAAGGCCAAGTGCTTATTTCGGGGGTCAAAAGAAAACAAGACCCTGTCTTATTTTTGGGAAAATATAGTATCTATCTATCTATCTATCTATCTATCATCTATCTATCTATCTATCTATCTATCTATCTATCTATCTATCTATCTATCTATCTATCATAAATCATGAATATTATGTATTCTTTTTAACTTCTGATAACTGCATTGAAAAATAAATAGATGTTTTGAATTTAAACCATTCCATACTTCCAAATTATCAAGACAGGCTGCTTAAAATAATCTGCTACTGAATCTCTTTTAAGCCATCAAGATTATTTCTGTTAATAGTGTGCTGGCCTTGGTAATTACTGGTATTTCTAATATTCTAAGAAGACTTCAATGATAGAGTGTGGATAACACTCTAGTGAAACAAGTGTATCCAGATGTAGGTAAAAAATTGCATTACTAGGGATGTGCAGCATTTTGAATCAAGAACCAAGATATGTTTTTCAGTGTACATGTGGTCTCTTGCTGCTTTCTTAAAACTTGCTGCTTTCTTGAGGCAAATGGCTACTAAGCAAGTCTAGAAAATGATACAGCTTTCAATTCTTTTCTGGCTGTAAATCCACAGTGCAGCATATTCTTCATAACAGTTGGGCAGTAAACACGTTGATCCTCATCCTAGACTTATAAATAACCTTATGTTATGCCAACACAACCCCAGTGTACCTTGTGAGAGGGAAATAAAAAAAACTTGGTTATACTGTCTATTACAGCAAAGAGATACTTGGTTTTACTTCCATGATATGCTGTGGCAAAATTTCTTTAGATTACAGTACATTACCAATTTGGTTGCAAATGGTTGTGAAGGCAGGCCAGATGTGGAACACTTGAAATGTCACATGACTGCAGGAGGTGTGGTCCTGAAAACTTTGGGGCTGGATTGTAAATACCCTGGGGGGGTGGGTCATCATAACTTTGAATGGTCACTAAGTGACCAGCCATAAGTCTCTTCATAATTACTGTATATAGTAACTCACAAATGAGCCATTGTCACTTTCTGTTCATGCTTTGAGCTTCCTGACCATAGAACAGATAACACTTGACAATATAGCCTCTGGGCCCAATTCTGAATTATTGTTCTAATATTCTTTTATTATGTCCAAAGCTTGGATCTAGGGAGCCTTAACAATCTTTACTACATTTTTAAGTACTTAAAATTTTTATTTCTTTTTTCTGCAGTGTTCAGTAAAAAACTGCCGCACAGCCTTTCATGTCACTTGTGCATTTGACCGTGGTTTGGAGATGAAGACTATTCTGGCTGACAACGATGAAGTCAAATTCAAATCCTATTGTCTGAAGCACAGTTCTACTAAGAAGTTGGATGAGGAAATCCTCAATGAATTAACTGGCCAAGAAAATGAGAATGGGGCACATGATCATGCTCTGGGTCATTTAGAATCCTATGATAGCATAGCTCAAAATCAGGAGGAAGCTCATCGAGTCAGTATTCGAAAGCAGAAACTCCAGCAACTGGAGGATGGGTTTTATGCCTTCGTTAATGCTTCAGAAGTGGCTAAGGCTCTGCAACTTCCAGAGGACTCTGTAGAATTCCTGTATCAGTATTGGAAATTGAAGAGAAAATCAAACTTCAACAAACCTTTGATCACCCCAAAGAAAGATGAAGAGGACAATCTTGCCAAACGGGAACAGGATGTTCTGTTCAGGCGACTACAGCTTTTCACTCACCTCCGGCAAGATTTGGAGAGGGTAAGCTACTATGTTCTTGAAGAAGGGGTAGAACACAGATCTAAATGTAACATTCCTTATGCCATACATTGATTGAAGTAACTTCGTATGTTCTGTGCATCTGATATTTGATCCACGCATGTGATTCTGTTTGGACTTCAATATGGGATTCAAATAGATACGGAATAAGACTTTTTAAAACATGTACCATTGATATTTGCAATTATGGCATTAGTATATGTATATATATTTTCACTAATATCACCAAGATTCATATAAAATTAAATAATGCATAATACATAAATTCCTTAAAAATAAAGTAATAGGAAAATGTTAAATAACCATTCATTATGTATAGCCATCAAGCTATTGCTCTGAGTGAAGCACCAAGAGTGAAGCCCAGAGAAGGGGTAAAAAACAATAAATGAAAGAAATTAAATGCATTTGGTAAGGAAAAAAGTGACCTGAATCTAGATCTGTATCTTTTTTCCATACATTGGATATATTAGCCACCTTGAGTCATTTATAAAAACAATATAGGTAGGATGTAAATAAATGAAAATACATTTCTAGTCTTACAAACCATCCTTGTTTAAATCACTTCCAAATATTGCTTGGTATATTGTTGGTCATTTAACTTCTAAACTTTTTTTTTCTCAGCAACTCCACCCCTTCAGTCTTCCTACTCTTATCAACAAATTCAGTTCATCCTTCTTTCATTCTTGATCCTATGTCTTACTTTAACAACATATTTTGTCAGTAGCCCATTTTCACTACATTCAACTCGTTTCTCCTAACATTAATAACTTTCACTTTCGTATAACAAAGCAGAAAAGAAGGATGTTTATCCATGGCATTCTTCAATTAAGTTTACCCCACTTCTTAGACTCCCCCCTTATTTACTCCTCTTAGAATTCAAATTGCAGTCCAATCAGATTCTTACTTTTAGTAAGATGTTCTTGCTACTCTGTGCTGGAGACTACCTAAAAACCCAACGTAACATTTGTCTGCATTTCATTAATTAGGAAGTAAGTGCAGTGTACTGATACACTTTCAGGGTGCCCTAATTATAAAAAGCTAGTTGAAGAGATTCATTAATTCTTTTGTGAAATACTGAATCTATACCGTGTTTCCCTGAAAATACGACAGGGTCTTATTTTCTTTTTACTTACAAAATATGGCCTTGGGCTTATTATAGGAGAGGGCTTATTGTTTTGAGGTTGCCGGGCGGTTGCTGCCTTGAGAACTGG